GGAACAAATTACTTATTTAGATTTCAATTTCTTGCAGTGTTGTTATTAATGAGTTTCTTAGCAACAGCAGAAAACGGCTTTAAAAGCAACAGAACAAAGATTAAATCAGTATTGTTCATCTAAAATCTGTTTTGCTAAATATAAACCACCACATCTGCTCCAGTCATTAAAAACCTGACCTACATTGGCCCGCAGTCCTTGACAACCCAGTTATTTCTAGAAAACATCTTATATGGATATATGCATGGGTCCCCGCTCTGCATCTTTAACTCTTTGCATGTTGATGCAAATGTTGCAAATGTTGATGAGAATCCATGGACCTGACATGAAGAGCGAACTCTCTGATGAAAACCCTTTTACACTGGAAAAAATCCAAATCTAGATGAATCATTTTTTCTTAAAATAAGTGCATTTCTTCTCGGATTGAGGAGATAAAAGAGACATTTTGCCAATGGAACAAGAGAATTTACATTTAAAATAAGGCAATGCAATTGCATTGCCTTATTTCAAGTGCATTTTATCTAAATATCTTATTTTAAGAGTAAAAATACTCATTCCATTGGCAAACTATCTCATATACCCACTCAAAATATGGTAAATGCACTTAATTTAAGAAACGTTTAATAATTTCTAGATCGTTTTTCCAGTGTAATCAGAACCTTTGATGATTCTTATTGTTTACACAATGCAAAAACTATCTAAAAACTAGCAAAACTGTCTTAAAATAAGTGTATTTATTCTTCATTTGAGTAGGTAATGAGTGTTTTTACCCTTAAGATAAAATAATTATGTTATGCGCTTGAAATAAGAGACTGCAGCTGTTTTCTCTTATTTTAAATGTAAATTGTCTTGTTCCAATGACAAAGTGTCAAAAAATGCTCTTATTTTAAGAAAAATTGACTTACTTAGATTTAGATTTTTAGCAGTGCAGCAGCTCCATGTTTGGCATTTAGTTCTATAAATTTGACTGTGAATTAATCAGTTAATTTAAAACAGATCAATAAGCAGTTTAAAGGTAAAAGGCAACAGAGTGAGGTTCAGCTTCCAGCTCTCCACCTGGACTCACTCAACGTCTTTTTCTAGGCCTCTGCGTCGCGCACTGAGAGCACGAAGTCGCCTGTCAGGAGACGCAGAGAACAGAGCACGCTGTCCCGGATCTTCAACCTGGTGAGCTGGCTGCATGTTTGCCTCCTCTAAACCCCCGAGTATCCAGCCTCTGCCTGTAAGACGGGGGGGGGTCTTAAACTTTGCTCTTCTGTCTGTGTTTACTTGAATGCAACAGTGATGTTCTCCTGGGAGATCAGTGAGTAGTTTCACAAGCAGCCCTTTTTTCCCGCCTCCCTCAGCGTTTTACTCAGTCATCTACGTTCATCAAACATGCTTTTAAAATCAGCACATCATCATAATAAGAACCTAACAAGCAGCAATATCATTTTTATGCAGAAATTTCATATCCAGCCGTGGGAAAAAAGAAAGAAACGTTTTTTCTTAAGCAGGTCCTAAAGATTTATAAATCAGACAATAAAAACATGATTATTCAGCTTTTTATTAAATGAATACAAAGCTAAAATAGGAAAATATAAAAAGCCTGGGACAAAACAGTCCTTATCCTGCATGAATATACTTATAAATAGTAATAGATCCAAACTATAATGTTTTAAAGTATAATAAATAGGGATGCACGATATAATCGGCCCCTGATTATAAAACTGAATATCGGACTTCGGCCACCCCACCGATATTTAACCCGATATTTGATCAGCTTCTGAGTTTCTTCTTCTTTCTCTAAAAACGTCTTTTTTACAGACTTAAAAACTTCTAAAGACGAGGGAAAAAATATTGATACATTAAAATATCCCAATATCTTCATA